CATGTAAGAATTAGGCTAAGAGGGGGGCTTTTTGACACAAGGCAAACAAAGACATTTAAAACTCACGTTAAAACAATTACTGTGTGGAATTTTTTCTGTGTTTTTCCCATTTCTCAAACAGAAGTGTGTATGTTTTCAACATAGTTTCTCGCTGTAATTTTCTTTCTTGGCAAAGCCGCCTCTTACCATGAAACCCAAAGTATGCATGCGAGAGAAACAATAATGGTGGAAACAGACCCGGCCGTCTCTGGCACAATGTTTCTTTACAAAATTAAAATGTCTTTTGGCTAATCCACTGCTCGTATCTTTCGGTTAAGGGAGGCTCTTCTGGAGAGACGAAGAGAAAAGAAAGGAGAGGACAGACACAGCCAAGACAAGACAAAAGTCAGGTCGCCCTGTCCCCCGCGCGGCTGTTCCCCCTCCAGCTCCGCACTGGGGAGGAAATGCTGCAGTTTTAGCATTTCTCCTCGGGTCGCATTCACAGAGAGCTGACGATTGTCCTGTGAACGGCTGTTAAGTAGAGACGCTCAGATCTGCGGCAGAGCTGGGGATACACAGACTTAAAAACTCTGACATTCCCAGAAACTCAAAAGTTGAGAGCGGAGTGGGAGAAAGCCAGGGCCGGGATCACGCACACTGTCGCATTTTTGCCACAGCTCACGGGCTAGCAGACCAAGCCCTCTGGAACCTTTGTGAAACACACTGCTCGTTTTTTAGAGATGTTTGAGTTGGCATTATCACGCATCTGCATTCCTCTTCAATTTCTGCATCTATCCAAAAGCAGAGGCCGTGTTTTCCGAACGGCAGGAGTACACACATCTGGGCTCTAACCGCTATCACCCGGAGGCGGTGACAGCACAGATGGGGGCCCCTGTGCAGGCCAGCCCCCTCTCCCCCCACCCTGCAGGTCCTGCCCCAACCATGCCCCTCGGCCCCAACCGACGCACGGCCCGCCTGCTCCAGATTCAGGAAAGTGGCAAAGATGAGTCTCCCGGTGACCTGACTCTGGGGACCACCTGTGCCCGATTATTCTCTGCTCTCCAAATGTTTATTATCTGACCCCTAAACACTGCACCCGCAACCCTCCAGCACCTTCCAGTAAACCTGACTTGGGCTGCGTCTACCGTAACGTCAGAGGCTCTTTCGACTGCCTGCCGGTAACACTATTGACTCAGTTTAGGAACTGGAGTGCGGGGCATTAAGTATCGAAGGAACAAATCAAATTAGCCCTTGAAAACAAACAGCCATTTTCCCTTACCCAACCTGCTACCCATCCCGACTCTCAGAGGTTCGGATCTGCAGTTTCTAAACACTTCCCAAGATTTTAAGAACTTGTCGACGCAGCTTCAGAAAAAAACTGTGGGCCGTGCGTTTAAAACCTTCCGTGTCCGGGAAACAATGGCACAGATGCTGCCAGAGCCACAGGTCCCACTGTTTGTGGCCGAGGCTTGCTCTGCAGCCAACGGAAGTCCCCCGTGGCTCTGCACAAGTCATCGGCCGTGGGACTCCGTTTCCTTGTTAACAAAGGTTGGATGAAAATTAAGACTCTCAGGAATCTTCCCTTTAAAACCCACGCGCAGAGCCGATTCCCAGCCTGACATCCGTGGACCCCTCAGCCGTCAGGAATTTAGCATCGTCGTGAAGGGCAAGGACACTTTGCAAGTGACAAAAACGGCCAGGGCACACAAGATGATGCAAGCAGGAAAATGCATTTTAAAAAAATGTAAAGACTGGCGACTTTCTTCATACTCTTTGGCCCTAAATACACCTGGCAGGTACCTTCCTACCTGGAAACTGATTGCCCCTCTAATTCATCTATAGACAGAAGTCCAAGATGCATTTGGACACTTGCTTGTCTAAGTGCAGGAGGTTCACACTTGTTGGATTAGAAGGGGTGCTGGTCAACCACCATCAGGCCAGCTCATAGCTTCCAACAATGAGAGCGAAGCATTGCTCCTGCAAATTCTCCAATTGTTCTCCTACCCGGGTCTCATGGCTGCGGGTTTAGCACTGTTTAAACCGCCACAAAGGAGAAAGGGGGAAAAGTGATCTGGGGGCGCGGCTCAGGGAGAGGCTGGGAGCGCAGGCGTAGGGGGCTGCGTGTTTCTGTTTTCTGTCCCCAGGCTGTGTTTTCTCAGGGCTGGGGCGAGTTCTCTGCACGGAGCTGCCTTCCAAGCAGGGTCCAGCGACTCCACTCCCAGAGCAGCTCACTAGAGAACGCATCATTCCACCGACACAACCCCGCACTGGCTCCAGAGGGTCCTGCCCCTCCCAAGCCCCGCAGCCGGAGAGCCACGTGCGAGGGCAGCACCTCCTTTCATGCGAAGCCTTTGGGGGAAGAAGTTCGTTTCTTCTCCAAGGAGTCCGCATCGGGCCAGCCTCGCTTTCTGTCGAGGGGCCAGGTGTGGAGGAGATAAGGGGCCATCTGACCCTCTTCTGCAGACTCAGCACAACCTGGGACCCAGAGACACCGTCAGCCGGATACGGAGTCTCCCTCCCGCTCCGGGCATCCCGGCAGACAGAAACCCCCAGGCCCCCGGAACACGCGTGCGTCTCCCCGAGTCATCCGCACTCCCTTCTCTCCCCTGCCAGCCGCCGGCTCGCGCTCTCCCTGCCCCGAAAGGCATCTGCTGCGAGCTACTGGGAACCCCGCGTTTTCACCAGAACAGCCCGCGATTTTATTACACAAGGAGTTTATTGCAGGCCTAATTAGTCTCAAACTGGGCGTTCCGGCTGAGGACACCTAACACACATCTGGCGGAGAGCGCGAGCCCTCCTTCGGAGCCTCTCGTGCCCGACGCAAGTTATCTTTGGAAAAGTCACTGAAAAAATAAGGAAACGGCTTCTTTGTGGGAAAGGAGTCATCTTGTCACGGGGGAACCCGGACTCGTCTTAAAGTGGACGCGCCTGCACGCTGCAGACTTAAACTGCCAGGTCTCAGCAGCTTCTGGTCCTAACTCAGGGCGCACTCAGCGGCACCACAGAGCCCTCGCCCAGGGCTTTTCCGTTCTCCCCGCGGCAGCCAGCGTTTTATCAATTTCCCCGTCTGGAACACGGCTTGCCATCGCTTCCATGCAATTTAAAGCAGAAGTCATGGCTGCTTAGTAGACACAGTGTGTCTCGGGTCTCGGGTGTTTTTGCCAAATCGTAATCCTGTAACAAGTCAACAAACCATCTCTTTATGACGTGCTTAACACAACACAAAAGGCATGAAAAGAAGATTTTAAAACTTAAGTATCTACAATATTGGTGTTTTTTTTTTTTTTTCTTTCTGTAAAGCCCAACGTACTGGTGTAGACATCTTTTTCTTTTTCTTGCCTTTCCTTAGTTATCTGATATCAAGAAAGTGATTTATGTGTTTATCCACACGGCCACTGTGCCGGGCGAGCTATTTGAGGATGGAGGAAAAGGGGGCCGCTCCTTTCAGATAAATCAGCGAGTGTCCTGAAGTCAGGAGCGAGACAGGGACAGGAGAAGCTGCTACAGAGAAGCCGACGGGGACAGGAGAAGCTGCTACAGAGAGGCCAGGTTGCTCGGTCGCTCAGCCTTCCCCGCAGGCCGCTGCTCACAAGGGCAACACTTAGCTTCCGCCAAAGGCACGGAGATTTTGAATCCAAACCCGGCCCTATGCTTTGTCCAAAGCAAGATTCAAACCGTCACCATTTGTACCGTACATTGCCTGTTAACCCTGCCCAGTCTGCCGAAGTCGGAAGAAGACGACGAAATAGAAGTTTGCGGGGTTACCGTGGTGGGAAGGGGGGCATTTCTTGGGTGAAATTCTTTCCCAAGGTTATTTTGAAAAGGAGTCTCCCCCCACATACACACACCCGTGTCTGCCCCCTTTTTCTCACATGGCGCCGTGGACACCCACCGACGTGGATACCGGCTCAGGACTCAGACCCAGTCAATGCTAAGAACAGCCTCTCCCCCAAACCCCGGGCGCCCACGGCCTCAGTCTCAAGTGTAGCCGCTGCCCCTGCCCGGGGCCATGAGCCCCTCCAGGGAGGGAGCGACGACCGAACCAAGTCCTCACGGTGGCCCCGAACCCGCGGCCTCCGCCGTCCCCGGGCGCGCCCCGCCAGGCGGTGGCCCCTCACGCAGCACTTCAGGGACACGGGAAGAAAACGCTGTCCACCGCCGTGCAGCCCCCGACCGGCTCCGGAGGGCGGCGGGGCGCTCGGGGCGCAAGGCGAGGCGCTCTCGCCGCTGCCGAGAAACACGCGCCCAGGGTCTTTTCCCTGGCCGCGATCACGCGGGTTCCCCGGAGCTTGTCAGCGACTCCTTTCGGGATCTCGGGCCGCAGAGCCGTGCGACCTCTGGGCCGCGGGGCTCCGGGGCCGATCCGCCCCCCACTCTCTCCCCGTACAGGAAAGCCCTCGCCTCCCGCGAGCCGCCTTCGCGCGTGCAGTTCCCAAGTCCCAGCTCCCACTCAGCGGGCGCCGGGGCCGAGCGCTCCGCCACCACGCGCCCGGACTTTGCACGAGAGAGGTCGCGGGGAAGGCGAGGCTCGGCGGCCCGCTCCGCTCCCTCCGCGGTCAGCCACCCGCGCTGCCCTGGGGCGAGCTCCCGGAGCCCCTTCGGACCGGCACGGGAGCGCCTCCGCCACCTTTTTCTTTTTTTTGCGAACCGCCAGGACCGTAAGCGCAACCAAACACGGAAGACCCAGCCCCGTCTACACCGCCTGCGCGCCGTGCACTTGTCCCGCGCGCGGGACTGCTAACTTCAGGGTCGCTCCCCCCACGCCCCGCCAAAGCGCACGGGGAAACTGAGGCTCGGGGCCTGAGGGGGACCTTCCCGAGACAGGGTCTGCCTGGTGCCCCCTCTGCCCCTGGACTCTGGGAGTGGCCCTGGGAGCCCCAGGCGCCCCCGAGCTCCCCGACAGCTGGGAGGCCCCGCTCGGCGAGCGCGGGACAGAGGCGCCGGGCGAGGGGATCCCGGGCAGTCCCCGCCCGGCGAGTCCCGGCGGGCGGCCCGGAGTGGGCGCCGCGGGCGGTACTCACCGCGCGCAGAGGAGAGGGCGCCCCGGCGCGGCGCGGCGCGGCGCGGCGCGGGTCGGACGCGGCGGGGCTGACTGCGGCCGGCGCGCTGCTGCCTCTGCTGCCTCCGCCTCCTGGGCTGCCGCGGCCGCTGCCTGCGCGCGGAAGACCGGCCCCTTCCCCTCCCTCGGCCGGGCCCTCCCTCTGCCCCCACCCGGGTCCCCGCACCGCTGCGTGGGCGCGTGGGGGCGCCGAGGCGCGGCGCTGGGCTCGGCCGGCGCACGCGGGGCGAACGGCTCGGGCCCTGCCGATGCGGCCGCGCTGCTCCGGGCGCCTGCAGCCGAGGCGAGCGCGCTCGGCCTCACGGGTCCTGCCGGGGAGGCGAGCGCCCAGTCTCCTCCCCACCCAGCGGTCCCCAGCGCCGCCTGCCTCCCGGGGCAGCGCGTCCCCCTGCAGCCCGGGCAGGGCCCCTGAGAAAGGAAAGGCTGATGGGAACGAGTGCTCAGCCACGTCGCGGACACTCATTCATTCACTCACCCACCCATCCACCCACCCATTCATTCATTCATTCATTCAGCGTGGATGGGGCCTGTTCTGCCCCCCTGGAAGTTACCTACACGCGGAGAGCCAGGCCTAACGCAAACACGCGAAGCCAGAGCAAGGCCGCGCTGGGAATTTACCGCACCTGTGGCTCGAGGCGGTAATCCCAGCTACAGCAGTTCCGGAAGGCCTCTGGGAGGAGGTGACGTCTGCATCAGGAGACCGTACCCGTGGTGGTGGTAGCCGGGAGACGAGGGTTCACCCATTTCACAGATAAGGAAACTGAGGCCTCAAGAGTGTATTTCGATTACAGGGCCGAAATTAAGCCCCCCCCCCCTTAATTCACCGTGGCCTGGCCACCCTGCAGTCTTTGCGGGGTTAGAGGTCTTCCACGGCGTCCGCACACGCTCCTCTCCCCCTCAGCCACTGTCTAAGCTTATGAATTCCACTGTGGGACCTCCGGGCTCCCTCTCAAAGCATCCTGGCCCGCCGTGGCCGTCTGTGGGGCTGCAGGAAGTGGGAGGGCAGCCAGGAGGGTCTCGGGATGGAGCCTGGCCTGGAGTGCGCCCTCCGCGAGCCGTGGGGCTCGGGAATTCCGCCTTAACACAGATTTTCATTTGCTGCACCTGGCAGCCCTACGCCCCTCTAGACTGATCCAGCTTTTGCTGATCTCGCCCCCCCCCCGAAGACTCAAAGGTGGGTGCAGTTCGCAAGCCCATTTTACACGGAAGCCCAGCGGAGGCAGAGCGGCCGAGCCAGCGCTGAAATCCAGGTCTGGCCGGCTCCCAGGCCCTGGCTCTCGCTACTGAAGCGTCTTCAGCTCAGCCGCAAGGGGCCTGGGAACCCCAGGGGCGCTGGGCTCCCGGCCTCTGCACTTGCGTGGGCCCTGCCTCAGGGTCGGGGGGGGGGCAGAGAAGCAGTCACGCGGTCACTTGTTCAGGTGCAGTGCATCAGCGTCACTGGCCCTCAGCTCCCCGCCACCAGCAGCGAAGACTGCTGTCCCTCCGCGCTGCTCCCCACCTGTTGCCGAGTGCGAGGCCTGGGAGAGGCCAGAGGCAGCCTGGGAATGTTGCAGTTTTCTTAACCGTTTTTCTCAACTGCTTAACTCTGTTGGGGTGGCGTTTAGCCTAGTCCTACTTCAGAGCGCCTGGCGTCCACTCCCGGTTCCAGCTTCCTGCTAACGTGTGTCCTAGGAGGCCGCCGCCATGGCCCAGGTAGGCGGGTCCCTCTCTGCCACCCATGTGGGAGACCTGGATTGAGTTCCCGCCTGCCGGCTCTGGCCCAGTGCAGTCCTGGCCAGTGGATGGAAACCAACTTCCTCCCTCCCTCTGCCGCCCCCTTTCCTCTCTGTCTCTCAAAGAAATAAACAAAAATCTGCACCGATGACTTCCTAATGTAAAGAAATATTCACTATTTAGTTCTGGATTCATAATCTTGCCTTCTATTTCTGAACAAGGAGCCCAAAACCGTATGTGAGGGGCCATGAAAAAATTCATGGAAACGCACACTATGAATCTAAACATTTCGTTTTGGAGCAAAAGAAACTTCTCGTTTCCCCACGAACTTCTGGAAGGACCCTGGACGGGTCCTGGACCCCTCTCTGGTCGCGGCTTACTCCCCCACCCCACTGCTTCCTGCTGCCCCAAAGCAAACGTGCCCATCCTCCTCCTCCACGCCCTGAGCGAAGCGGCCACAGCCACAGCCACACATTGGACTCTTGCCTTCTCGAGGCCAAGCTACACATAAACTTGGCCTTGATTTTCCCTTCCCTGAAATGGGGTAGCAGCGCTCGTCTTGGATGATTGCTGTGAAGACTCACGGAGGTCATGCGTGTAAAACACTCCCTGCTGGCACGACGGCCGCCACGCACCATGGCTCGGCAGATGTGCTTCCCGCACGCCCAGCCCCTCCCCACAGCATCTTTGCAAACAGATGTGTTGCATCTACCTTGGCCCGTGAACCTCAGGGCTATTTTTTTTTCCCTAAAGGAATAGACTGGCTTGGGAGATGGCAGGTGAACTGCGTGCAGCCGGCACAGTCATCCCTCGGCATCCGCAGGTGCTCAGGTTCCTTGGAGAGAGTGGCCCAGGCTTGCACAGAACCCACGCAGCCTCGGGGAAGCTCCAAGCCGCCTCTCGCTGACCTGCTGCACCTGCTGCCCGGATCCCACGTCGAGTGGCTGTGTAAGGTTGTGTCGGGAGTAACGACAGGGAAGCCACATCTGTCCATGTTCATACAGACGCACCGTTCTTTTTAGGAGATTTTGGATCCAAGGTTGGTGGAATCCGTGCCTGTGGACGGCGGATTGGATATGTTCATACATGGGTGTTCATGTCTACACGGGCTCTGGGCTAGCGTGTGAACTGTTTCTCCCTGAGGATCAGGGTGTGGGGAAATGCTCAACACTTAGGAACAAAGGGCCCCCATGGAATGTAAGGGGTTAACCCCACTCCCCCAGCGCCCATTACCCGATAATGTGCGGCCGCACCCAGGCCAAGAGAAGGCGGGGCAGGTGCTTCTTGTGGGTCCTTCTCTCAGGGCAGTGGACTTCAGCCCCCTGCCTGTTCACACCCCCAGAGGGGCTTTTAAAGCTCCCCCAGCCAAGGCCCCCAGCCCAGAACAATTGTACGCAACTCTGCAGGTGGGACTGTGTCATGGGCAGCTCCCAGCGACCCCAGGGTAGAGCAGAGGGCGAGAGAAGCCCCATCCTGGGGAGAGGGAAGCCTGACCCCACAGCACCAGCAGAGGGGCAGGAGCGGAGGTGGGACCAGAAGCCTCGAATCTTATTCGGGATCACGGGAAGCGCAGCCGCGGCTCTGCAGGAGTTGCCCTTGTCTATCTCTTTCTTCCCTGAATGTGTCCTTGGTAAGTACCTGTCCTAACGACCTGCAAAATAACTCTAAACAAAAGCCGCACAGGTGACGCCGCCAAGCAGGCTCTTCGGGGTGCAGAGCACAGACACGCCTACTCTCTTCTTCCACGGAAATGCTCTGGGAAGCGAGGAGAGCGTATTCACTCCGCAAACCACGAACTTTACAATGCCCTCAGCATGTGCCTGCGCATCCTACAAACACGCATGTGTCCTCCCCACGCCAAGTCCTGCTGTAGTTCTATGCACACCCCTTTTTTCTATACACATAAGCAGTCTCTCCTTTTTGATGCTTCATTGAAACCTTGGCTCTTTCCAAAAGGATCTGAGGCAGCTGCAAAAACATATATGGCAGCAGAATAAAGAAAACAAGAGAAGCAGGTGATGGAGAAACAAGGGAGGAAAGAAAGTCAAGGGTGAGGTTTTCACAGAATGGGGGCCAAGAGGTCCTGGGCGCTTGTTAGTGGTGGACTGAGAATGAGATAGTGAGCTTCCTGGTAGCCGATGCAAAGACAGAAATGGGATCAGCTTCCAACTTCCTACTGCTCCAAAGCAAGTGTGTCTGGGAGTTTGGTGCAGACGAAGGAGGGGAAGTGCCCCAGCCACAGCCTTGTGCCTGCCCCGTTTCTCCTGCGGGTACTCGTAAGGGGTCTGAAGGAGCCCAAACCTCTGCAGGGTCAAGATGGAAAAGCACGCATTCCAAGGGGGGGTGGTGGCTGTGTTCAGGATTCTCAACAAATCCACCCCTGTGGGTGAATCCGAGCTTTGCTTGATGCTGATCCAGGGCCATGTTTTCCCCGGGGGTCCCTGTAAAAGAAGCAATGTGACAAACAGTGTGGGGGCCAGCGAGGGCTTCCTGCAAACACAGGGTGTAGGAGATACTCCTTCACCGGAAAGAGAAAATTCTTACATCTTCCCCAAACTGAGAAGGCAAATAAAGGCGCGCTTGGAACATCTCTGTACTAAATGTTTTCCCGGCAGAAGGGCTTCGTTCTTCACACCCAAACGGAAGGTGCACTTCTCACAATCACTGTAAACATATTGATAAGGAAAAATGGACACTTTTTGCTCTCAAAACTTGACCCGACATTTCTATCAACACAACACACAGAAAAGCCGCATTCGCCCACCACGGAGGGAGCGGGAGAGTGAGGGCACCAGCAGACACCAGCCGGGGGCGTGGTCAGCTGTGGTTGTGCTGACCACACCAGCACTCACTGGGGATGAGGGAGCCCGGTCCGGCGTCCTGCACCCGGCACCCTCATTGGACTTACTGGGAGGCATTTGCTGTGGTCTCAAGTGTCGCTTCCCCAGTTCAGGCTTTGCAACTTAATGGCCACCGCAATGGTGTTAAGACACCGTTGGGGCCTTCACGAGGCGGTGAGGCTGTGAAGACAGCATGTGGGCCCCAACGCCCCATCTGGCAGCCGGAAGCAGCCCCACCACGTGTCTGAGCCTGGCTGAGTCTTCCCCGTGGACTTCCCAGTCTTGAAAATGATGAGGAATAAATTTGGTTCCTTTTTTTTTTTTTAAAGAAGGTTTATTTTATTTATTTGAAAGGGAGAGTTACACAGAGAGGGAGAGACAGAAAGAGAGAGATCTTCCATCCGCTGGTTCACTCCCCAGATGGCCGCAACGGCTGGAGCTGCACCAATACAAAGCCAGGAGCTTCTTCCGGGTCTCCCACGTGGGTGCAGAGGCCCAAGGACTTGGGTCATCTTCTATTGCTTTCCCAGGCCATAGCAGAAAGCTGGATCGGAAGAGGAGCAGCCAGAACTCAGACCAGCGCCCACACGGGATGCCGGTGCTGCAGGTGGCGGCTTTACCAGCTACGCCACGGCACCGGCCCCACGATGGGCTTTGATGGCACCCACACAGATGACTGCAGATGAGCTGCTCTCTCTAATTTTCTTTAGCATCCAGCCTGAAACAAATAGTCAGGAGTCGAGGGGGTTGAGAAGCACTGAGGAACCAGAGTGAGCTCAAGAGAGAATCGAAGTTTGCTTCTCTTGTTCTTTTTTTTTATTTTTTTTATTTTTACTTTTT